GGGAAGCAGGACTGGGCCTAGGGAGAAGCCTGGCTGTGATGTGGCCACAGCAAGGCGTTAGCTCATGCCCTGGGGAGCTTTGAAGCTGGGGTGGCTCTGCAGGGTTGTCCTGAGTTGGGGTGAGAGTGCGGGGCTTTGATAAGTACCAGTCACTGGATGCCCGATTCCAGGGGAGGGCTTCGAGCCAAGGCCTGCCATCTGCAGTAGTGAGAATCTGGGCAGCACAGCATAGTGCCTATGCATGTGGCTTTTAGCAAACTTGCCTTTGAGCATCAGGACCAATTGATAAAATTGACACAAATCAAACCCAGGGAAAAAAGTAGAACGTAATTCAACCACAACTCTCTCTCCTTACTGGAGCAGGCCAAACTGAAAATATACAAGGGATAGGACAAAGTTATTTTCTCATATGTCAAGTGGAGACTTTGGACTACATCGGGAATTATAACCTGGTGGCTCACAGGTCAAATCTGTCTGCAAAGTCTGTTTTATTTTCATGGAGAGTTTTTCAAATCCAGATTTCTGGCTTCGCTTGAAAAGTTGGAAGAACTGGCCCATTGGGCCCACATTGTTTCATGGCAAGTACCAGCTAGAGTGGAGTAGCAGGGGCCCCCTTTGAAACCCCTGTCCTCTCCAGCCTGCTTCACTCATTCATGCTACTGCCCGAGCCCTGTAACCATCTGTAAGGTTCCACCTAGATCTGATGAGCTGTGAGTCTGTGTGAATAGTCTTGCATACTGCTGAAATACGTATTTGACTTCCTTTTTTAAAAGATTTTATTTATTTCTTTGATAGAGAGGGAGAGAGCACAAGAAAGGGGAGCATCAGGCAGAGGGAGAGGGAGAAGTAGACTCCCCACTGAGCAGGGAGCCCGATGCGGGGCTCAATCCCAGGACCCTGAGATCATGACCTGAGCCGAAGGCAGACGCTTAACCGACTGAACCACCCAGTCACCCCTGTATATTTGACTTCCTAACAACATAATGGTAGCTAAAAACCTTTGGCTTCCTAGTTAAAGTTGCATATCCTCCTGGATATTGCCTTTGGGCAAGTCAGACCACTTCTTTGTCGGGTAGCTTTTTGGCTTTGCCTATGAGGATCTCAGTGACCCTGATCTTGACTATGAGCTAGAAGCAAAAGGGACTTTTACTTTCTTATACTTTTGGTGGCTGTGGTAGAGGCTACGTGGGATTTTCTAGCCACTAGAATACTATTTAAGCCTTAGTAATTCCCAAACCTGCTTGAATCTCAGAATTACTTGGACTGTTTATAAAAATACAAATACTCAGTTTCGTCTAGGTCCTTCTGATTCAGTAGGTCTCAGCCCAGTAGGTGGGGCCCAAGAATCTTTAGGTTTTTTATTTTTTAAATTAAAAAAATTAGAGTATAGTTGATATACAATGTTACATTAGTTTCAGGTGTACAACATAGTGATTTGACTTCTCTCTATGTTGTGCTATGCTGTGTAGCTCCCATCTCTCACTATACGATGTTATTACAATGTTATTACAATGTCATTGACTATATTCCCTACATTGTGCCTTTTATTCCTGTGACTTATTCATTGCATAACCAGAAGCCTATATCTTCTTCCCCCATTTTGCCCATCCCCCCACCACCCTTCCCTCTGTCAACCATCAATTTGTTTTCTATACTTATAGATTCTGATTCTGCTTTCATCTATTCATCCATTTTGTTTTTTAGATTTCACATATAAGTGAAATCGTATGGTATTTGTCTTTCTCAGTCTGACTTATTTCACTTAGCGTAATACCCTCTAGGTCCACCCATGCTATTGGAAATGGCAAGATCTCACCTTTTTTTATGGCTGCCTAGTATGCCATTGTGTATATATATTACATTTTTCTTATCCACTTGTCTATCGATAGACACTTCAGTTGCTTCCATATCTTTGCTATTGTAAATAATGCTGTAATAAACTTAGGGGTGCATCTATCTTTTCAAATTAGTGTTTACATTTTCTCTGGGTAAATATCCAGTAGTAGAATTACTGGATCATATGGTAGTTTTATTCTTAACTTTTTGAGGAAACTTCATGCTGTTTTGCACAGTGGCTGCACCAGTTTACATTCCTACCAATAGTGCACGAGAGTTCCTTTTTCTCCACATCGTGGCCAACGCTTGTTTCTTGTCTTTTTGATACCAGCCATTCTGACAAGTGTGAGATGATACCTCATGTGGTTTTGATTTTCATTTCTGTGATGATTAGAGATGTTGAGCATCTTTCCATGTGTCTGTTGGCCATCTATATGTCTTCTGTACCCACTTCAATAGGATTATTTAAGGGTTTTGGTGTTGAGAGTTATAGGTTCTTTTTACATTTTGGATATTGACTCCTTATCAAATATATCACTCGCAAATATCTTCTCTCATTCAGTATGTTGCCTTTTCATTTTGTTGATTTTTTTTTACTCTACAAAGGATTTTTATTTTGATGTGGTCCTAATAGTTTATTTTTGCTGTTGCTTCCTTTGCCTTAGGAGACATATCTAGAAAAATGTTGCTATGGCTGATGTCAGAGAAACTGCTGCCTGTGGTCTACGATTTTAAGACTTTATTTTTAATTGGTTTCTCAATCTTGGTGTGATCTTGGTGTGCAATCAGATGTAGGAACCATACTGTCTCCTATTTGCTCTTTGTACTTAGTGCTTGGTTCATGTATTACAAACTTCTGAGCTCCCTTTAGTTTAGTTTAGTTTAGGATCCCTGAGGGATCCTTTCTTATTTATCTTTTTATCTGTTCCCATCCTTTAGTACTAGCACCCAGCACAGTGTCCTGTAAGTCCTATGCACTCAATGAGTGTCTAGTGACTGAATGGTTGATTGAATGAATGAATGAACATTCCCCAAAAGCTTTCTTCTTTAAGGGTTGAAGAGCACAGACCTCCAACACCACATGTTCAAGATCATTTGACTCAGAGAATTTATTTTATAAATATGGTGTCAAATAAGGCAGAGAGGGGAAGAGTCCTAGCTTTATCTTGGGAGTTTTTTTTTGCCTTGGGGATGTTAAGAAATAAATGATTCCTTCTAAAAAGAACTTATGCTTTTCATCAAAAGATAGATTATTCACCCACCCAACATGGTGCATGTGAGTTATTTGTATAATATTTCAAAAACAGTAAACTGACTCAATAGAAAAGGAAACTTTCTAAATTATGCTGAAATTTTGCCTTGAAATATAAACGTTGAAAGAATAAGACCAGGAGCTTCTTTCATACTGGGAGATAGATGCAGTGATACAAATTTAATTTATCGTGTTATGGTTTATTTATCAGGTGCTCTGCTTCCAAAAAGTTAAAAAAACCCGTGTCTGCAGAGAGAAGGCATGGCAAGTCCCCCACTTAGTTTGGATCTTGAAGGGGGACAATCTAGAAAATTTTGGCTCTGAGAAAATCTTAGAGCTTGTTTGGCTATTTACATAGTCTGTGTTTCCCAGAGACCCTTTGCCTTTTTTCTAATTTCGAATTTCTGGGGTTGAGTTCCTTCCAGAGGAGGCCTCAGGATTCAGAAAGGCTGTAGATGGGTGAGATGGAGAATCTGATTGGCCTGGACTTGATTGACTGTGGTCTACAGGGCTCAAACCAGCAGCCTGGGGCAAGTTTGGCACTCTATCCAGAACGCTGGGGATTAGGAATAATTTTTTTTCTTAAGTTCTCAGGAGTCTCTGTTAGGCGAATGTTATATGAGTTTTTGGGCACCACTAATGATTTCTAGCTTAAACTCAATTCAAATTAAGTTTATGAAATCTGTGCTTTGTATCACTGGTACCTGCACTTTGTTTTTCATTTTTTTTTCTTCTTAAAAAAAAAAAAAACCACATGAGAAGGTTATAATGTACTAAACTATTCAAATTACCATTTTCCAGACCAAGAAGGCAATGGTGCTGAAAGTCAACCGTTGGCGGGTTTGCTTCAGAGCTGTGCAATAATTTGAAATGTTCACTGTCAGCTGAAAGTCCAAAGGCCATGGTGTGAAAGGTGTGTGGGAATGTTGGTGTTTAAACATACACACTTCACAAAAGATACATTCGCTCACAGGGACTCTAGATTGGTCAGGATTAGCCTCTTTTTTGGCTGCGAGGTTTGGAATTATGGCCCCCGGTGCCCTAGCCATCTTCTGCCCTGATTCCTGTGTGTGTTAAGTAATAGCATTGTGACTACTACTGCTTTGTCTCCCATGACTATCATCGCACGCCTGGTTGTTGTCTTGCTGGCCCAGGCCATTCCATCAAGAGGACTCAAGCAAGCCTGAGATTTGTCTTGGGCACAGACTCCAGAACTATGATGAGATTTGGACAAAGCCTTGAGAGATTTGATCAGATATTCATTTAATACTTCTGAGGTCGATGGCTCTACTGGACAAGGATATTCAAAGAGGGCAAGATTCCATCCAATTCAAATGTCTGTACAAATAGCAAAGACTTAAAAATCTGAAGAACCAGGGAGGAGCATAAGGCGGTAATACCAGAATATTATTTGCAGACTTCCTGAGAATTGGGCAATGGGTTACTTCAGTCTCAAGCTCTCAAAAGGGTGAGAACTTTCCATTTTGAGGGCAGTGATACCAGAACTCTTATTAGGGCTCAAGGTGTCCCATGAGGGTTGTGGACAAGAATCCAGTTGGTGTCTTGGCCAGAGAGCTCTCTAGTCATTAGGAAACCTTACCCTGCTAAAGAGGTGTCTCCAAAATTGTTAGGGAAGAGACCCCAAAACAGTCTTAGATGACAGATGATTTCTCTAGTGGGTATGCACCTTTTGTACACTGAAAACATTTAGAATTAATGATAGAACTGTTTAAGAGAATCAAACTCATACTATATTTTGTAAAGAATCTGGGACATTTTATATTTTAAGCATTATTAAGGTGATCAAGTAGTGAGTTTTCAGACTGAAAGTAGCAGAAATATATGTCAGTACAGGAAAGCTGACACCATGATGCTCAAGGTTTTCAGCTCCCACCAAAAGCTTATCACTGTCACCACTGTCTTGGTGATCACAGAGAGATACTTATTGAAGATACACTTGTGAAAGAAGCTAATCAGCTCTTACCTCTTTCCTTGAAATCTAGCAGTCCATTTTGTTGGTGAAAAAATTTTTTTACAGGAAGGATGATATAATTTATACTAACTTACTTTAAGCAAGTTAACTGTCCAAGTAACATTACGAAGAAATCAGGCAGAGATACACTATAGCACACGTTGAAAGTCTTTCCGATTGGTTTTTATTCAGCAAAGACGTTCTCTGACCATTGAAGTCAGCCTAGAACACACACCATCCTCTCTGCAAATTGGAAAATCACATTAAAACATATTGATGATGTTTTGATGTGTGTCAAACAGAAGTTTGCCAAAGGAACTCCAAAAAGTAAGATAATCTCTTGGGCTTCAGGAGATGTTCACAAGTTTCTATCATTCTACTCTGTATCCTAGAAAGTTGCTGCATGGTATAAAATTGAGATGTGATAACAAAATGAGTTAAAACACTTTTCTTTTGGATTTTTGGACATTTTATAATTCAGAGTAAGAATTATCAATCTTTTCATTTCAGTTTTTGACGGACGAAGCATTGGACATATGTCAACCAGAGAGAAGACACTAATCAAGCTGACTGTTATCTTTCATTTAGTTAGCCAATCACATCTATTGGTCATAGAAATGTGCTAGGCACCTTGGGATATTAGGAAAGGAAAATGGCGGTCTTACCCTCAGGTGTAAGTGACTAGAGTTGTCTCTGGGCTTTTGTTAAAGACTTGGCCCGTCTTGGGCTCCCGGATTGTAGATTATTGGGAAGGAGGACTTTATCTTCCATCTCCACCAGCATTTATCCTATGCTCTGTAGAACACTGCTTCCCCCAGGGGAGCCCAGCTATCCATTTTTTCTTCATTGTGGGGTAGGAGTAGATGTTTCTCCCCATTTTGCTTATAGCTAAAGTAAAGCTAAGTAAATTGTGACGGTCTCTTCAGATACATTTATCTGACTCAGAAATCTTAAGATTTTGCTGCAAGTAACAGAAGGAAAAGGGTTATAAGCGACAGTTGCAAGGTTTGTTCAATATTGAGTTCTCTATTGTTATAAGCTGTGCTTCCCAAAAGAGTGTTGACAGTGTGCAGAGTGATGTCTCTGTGCCGTTATGAAAAAGGGAAACATTACAGAAATCAGTGAGCCTGCACCGTCTCTTGAGATAAAAGAGAATCCCCTCAATTTTCAAAGTGAGTTTTTGAAAGTCATGTATGTACTATCTTGAAAGCTGCAGTAAATAAAAAACAAAAAACAAAAAACAAAAAACAATCCCCTCAGACAATAGACATATTTGGTGGAATTCTTGAGAGGGATGCCGTAATTTTATAACCGAGAAACGAAACATAAATATTTAAGGAATGATAAGCTCTCCCGGTGGAAATCTCTTCCCCTTCCCAATGCGGTATGCAATTGCCTGCAGGCGTTTCTAGTCAAAGATGCCACCTGCATCTCTCACCCGGTGAATATTCAGGAAGACTCTCAGTACTTCTGCTGATTTGTGTCTGTGTGATTAAGATTTATTGGAAAACTGTGCAATATCAGGATCAATAACTGGGGACTTTGGAACAGTAGCAGACACGCAGCAATTCCTCTGGTGGGATAGATGTGCAACTTGAAGAGAACACCCATCCCTCTGTCAATTAGGTTTTAGGTTCATGGCCTGAGAAAACAATGAAATCAGTCAGGTATTTAGCAAGGGGGAGTATGATACAATAAAATCTCTCATAAGGAATTTAGCTCAATTCACTTGGAAAGCAAAGGATAGAGGCCAAGAGAGAATGGTTGTAGAGTTCAGATTGCTCCAAGATATAATAAATGGGCTTATTGACTGTGTCTCACAATAGCTATCTAGAATGTTTCCATCTAATTGTACATAACCAAGGTCTTAAATAATAATTGGGAGCAGGATTTGGATGACAAATGAAAAAAAAAGGCTGCATATATATTTACATTAATATTTCAGGACATATTTTTGGTTCTTTATTTCTTATTTCTGGCTTGTTTTCTGAGAAAACCTACATATATCTCTAACTGGAAAAAAGGGTAAAGGATAACTTGAAAAATGTTTGTTTTCATTCCTTTGCACTTGCTCTGCTCTGCCTTTGAGACACTTACGAGATGGAAGAAAAATCCTTTATACAGGACTCATAGACTAGACATTGCTCCCCTCTTCCCCAGAGGCTCTCTTTTGTCCTAATCCAACCACCTCCCACCATCCTACTTGCACTTGTCTTGGCAAGTTGATGTTGGTCCTGAAGTGTTGCTATGACCTGACCCATGGAGTAGCGTCCTTTTCCGAGAGTGCTGTTAAAGGAGAATTGGGGTAATGCTGGAAGGGCCTCCACAGGGTCCAGCTTCCTGTAAAAGCTCTGCCCAGGAGCCCTGTTGTTTTTTGGTGTTTCCAGTTGCTCTGTGAAGCATGAAAGAAGCTTTGAGTTCACAGAGACTTGAGGTATGTTTACTTATAGAAGTTCTATCGGCACAGTTTCCAGGCCAGAGGCTCAAGATCACTATTTTGGTGCCATGAATGGACACAGTCAGTAAATAACCACCTGTGCTTCCAGGCAGATCCAAAGAGAATTTGGGGAGGTGCTGTCAGGGGGATCAGCAATGGTGGTAACCATGTAGATTGGGCTGGTGCACATTCTCTTTAATCCAAAAGGCTGAACAGAACCTGGTAAGACTTCCTTTCCTTTGTAAAAGGGAATATTAAGACTAGAGGTGGGCCAGAGAATTGCAAACAGCATTCAGGGAATTGCAGTGCTGAAAACCGGCCAAGTTCCCCATTATTGAACATACGGAGGTGGCAGCACACAAGGTATTGATGTAGCTGACTTGTCCTCTGTGTCAGCCTATCTTAATCTTGAAATGTTCTGTCTGGGGGCTAATGAAACTGGGGTAAACGTCAGTAATAGGTCTCTAAGTTCTTGCCCCAGTGGTGTTCTTGAGCCAACTTGCACTTACGTAGGGAGAGCCAGTTTTGAACACATCTTCCCAACTGTGTGTTCAGTGATATCATGTTGGTAGCTGGAAATGGGCCATGAAGGGAGTATTTACACCATGAAAGCTGTCAAAATCGACAAATCCAACTTTTTACCTGCATACCATTGTCTTGAGCTCTTCTATTTTGAATGGTTGGTCTAGTCTGGACTGAGGAATTCTTTGTTCCTTGAGCAGATCTGCCTTTTGCCTCACAGTCCTTGCCTCTATCTCTACTCTAGTGCCATTCCTATCTTGCTGGCCTCTGCTTAAAGCTCTCTCTCCCCTCCTGATTCTTCCAGCACTTTCCATCGGCAACACTCTGGACATTCGCACTCCTTACCTTGCTTGGGTTTGTTGTTGTTGCTGTTTGACTGTATTTCCTGTACCTCCAACTAGAATGTGAGGGTGCAGAGAGTGGGTACTATTTAGGAGCGTCAGCAATGACAGTAACAATGACAGACAGGGATGGTTCAACAGGGGGCTTGAACAGAGAGGAAAGTGACTTGAAGGGCATATTAAGATAATTTAAAGTCCCGGAATAACACTCGTTCAATATAAATGACATGAGGGAGAGAACTCTCTGGGTCTCATTCTAAAGATACTCAAATGTTCTCATACGGTGCCTGCCTTAGGAGGCTTGCTTCGTGGTTTTTTTAAATCATCCCTGTTGGTTCCCAGTCAGAACTGCTCAAGAAGTAGCCTTCTCTCTGGCTAGGAGAGGAAATTGGACAAGGAGTAAATGTGGGCAAGAAACTATCACTACTCATTTGCTGCACATCCCAGGAGATCTTTCAGGAGAGTTCTGGAAAGGAAAGGAGGAGGGAGTAATAGTGAACTCTAACAGCTCCTGCCACAGGTCTGTTCACAGAAGGTTTTCCCTTAGCTTTCTCCTACATCACTCTCCCTCACCCCCACTTTTTATGGGCATTTGGGGAGGTTTTCTCCCATGTCCAAAGAGTCCCAGCTGGGCTCTAACTCTCCGTCTTCTGTTTTTAACATCCATGGTCTTGTAGGAGTAGAAGTCCCTTCTCCTGAAGGGATCCCAGATAAAGGTGACCTGTCAGGGGGAGGATCCCCCAGTTGGTTTATAGAAGCAACTTCAAAGTGGCCCCAGGGACTTGAGCCCCCTGTGGAGGAGGTTCAGGCAACTATCAGGTGAGCACCATCCCCTTTGGGTTACAACAAGATACTGTGTCCGCGTCTGGCTTTTCTGGCGAATGTGAGTTTGTTTTTCTTCGCGAAGGTGAGTTGTCTTGATCTGGTGCATCTGTGTAGGTGGGGGCGGGGGTGGGGGAGATGTGCCAGAGAGGAGAGTTGAGCAGAGGCTCTGCTCACAAAGGCACTGGAAGGGTTTGTTGGATCATACTGGCCGGGTTAGCCAAAGATCCACTAATTCTACTAATATATGGAAGACTCTTTGAAGACAAAAAGATGAGTGTGTGTGTGTGTGTGTGTGTGTGTGGTGGGGAGAATAATGATAAAAAGGTGAAGACGGAGCAGCTTTATTTTCTTTCCCTGGAGGAGCCTTTCTGTCTTCCTGGAATGTATATTGGAGTCCTACACATAAGGTATTGGGAGTTTTTAAGCAAAACACTGCTGAGCAGTGTAAATGCCATTCCGCATCACCATTTCAAACACGTCGGTAAATGACGTTGCTCACCAGTACTCCTCTGCAAGGTGGAGTTTTGCTTTGAAAATACTCCGAGAAGAGGATGAGAGGATAGTTGACATGTGGGTTCTAAACAGAAACATTTTCATTTTTTGTTAATATTGCTTTAGCTTTCCCCACTGCCACTAAATAGACACTGAACCAGTAGTAAAAGAATACTGGAGGAAGGGAGGCTAAACTATTAGCCTATTCAGGGTACCGTCATGGTTTGACCTGAATGAATGAATGAATGATGACTTGGAATAAACATCACTGTTGTCAGCTATTCCAGCACCAAACCTAGAGGGGAAAAAAATCACTAGCCTTTGAATGAAGGTGGCAAAATTGTATATGTGTGTGTGGAGGGAGGGGAAAATAGATCTCTATGTAAAATAGTTTTTCCTCTCTTTAAAAAAAAAAAACACTTGGAAACTCTGCTTGCTTTTGATTTAGTTTGGTCCTTTACATCTACCTGCACTCATATTACCTACCTACTTTTTCCTTCCTTCCTTCCTTCCTTCCTTCTTTCTTTCTAATTTGAGAGAGAGGGAGGGAGAGTGAATGGGGGAGGGGCAGAGGGAGAGAATTTACAAGCAGACTCCCTGCTGAGCGCGGAGCCCCACATGGGGTACGACCCCATGACCTGTGAGATCATGACTTGAGCCCAAACCAAGAGTCAGATGCCCCACCAGCTGAGCCACCCAGGTGCCCCCTCTTAAGTGCCATGAAATCAACATTTGGAGGAACCTAATTCTTCACAAACACAGATTCTCTACCGGAACTGTGACTTTTGTCTTTAGGTGAAAGCAAATGTTATTTCAGGTGGTCACAGTCCTAGGAACATGATTCAGGCCTGCTGTCTCTTTATTCAAGCATCTGGCTCCTTAACACCATAAATTAAAGCATGCCCTGAAGCACAGGTTATGATAAACACAAGGATTTTTGACATCGGGACAAACAATCCTGTTCCTACATGTTCCACATAATTGGACAGCAGACAATGCTCCTTTTCTTCCTTCTGATCCTCTGTATTGCTGCGGAAATCTGAGCAAAATTGTGATAATTGTTATGATTGTGCACTTAACATTCCGAGCTCAGCCAGGATGAGGAAAGAGTAGCAAGCTCTTTGTGGTTTTCACCAAATCTGGTAAAACTTGGGCTCGATGGTGGCCAGTTTTAGCCATTGGTACCAGGTGCCATGAGGTTCAGTTTTTTGAGAAAACACACGTTTACCAATGAACTCCTTCTACATTGCCAAATTTCAAGGAACTGTATCATCTGCATTTGTTGCAAGGGGCCTTATCCATGCTCTTTGGGCTCCACTATGTGTGGTGTTCTCACCAGAACAGCCCAGTGCTCATGAGAAGAGGCCACAAGGCAAAAGACACTAACTGTGGCTTGACGGGCTGTTTCTCCCTGCCCCCTGCCTAAAGCTCTGTCCAGGACCAATGATGTAATTTGTGGGGCTCATTGCAAAATGAAAAGGCAGGGTCCCTTGTTGAAAATGTATTAAGAATTTTAAAGCGGTAACAGCAAAGCAATAAACCAAGCATGGGACCCTTTTAAGCAAGGGGCTCTGCGTGACTCACTGGTCGCAGGCCCGTGAAGAAGCTGGCTCAGCTCGGCTCTGACTTTCCTAAATAAGTAGATGGGATAAGAAGGGAAGGACCGTCATCCTCCCTACACGGTTGACAGCATGTGCCAAATTCTCGCAGGGAAGAGGTGATGTTCCGTTGAGGGCCCCGGGATCCACTCCTCCTGCCCTAGGTGGAGGGGAGACAGAAAAACCCGAGTGAATGACGGGGACCCCTTCGAGATCCTTCTGATCCTCCCGTGTATAAACTTGGAAGCCCTTATCCGGGAGAGGCTCTAATTCTCAGATGCCACACTTTTCTTCATTACTCTCCACAAATTGAGAATTGTGGCTTTACCACTTAAAAACGATTATGACCCGGGGCTGGCGGTGGTGGGTCATCTCTGAGACTCAGTTTCCCTGTTTGTGAAATGGAGAGACTACCTCATGGGGCGTT